CCAATATATGTCGATAAAAGATTTATATACAATTAAAAAGACCTATAGTGCATAAAAATTAAAAATACAATCTAATCGGACAGTGTCACCATTACCAATGACACTGTCCAATGTCAAAGGTAAACTCTTAGAAAATATGTGTTTAAATAATGCCGCCGCTCACGTTCGTAAGACAGTAAAATGTGCCTATTGTGACTTGAGTATCACAATGGCTACACATCGGTGGGTCAATACCTGATAAAAGAAAACGATGGGTTGAAAAACTGTGGCATTGATCCTGAGCACAGAACATCGATCCGCACCCAAAGAGGTGGAAGAGAGGACACGGAGGATGTTCAAAGCACACTTGACACGTAGCTGCTTGATGTGCAGAATGAAGCTAAGCTTACAGTCAAAGATAAGCCCCAAGAATTTTGCCTCAGGGACCACACGAATAACTACATTGCCGATATGGAGCTCAGGTTCGGGGTGGAGACCCCGTTGGCGGCAAAAATGCATGCAAACGGTTTTGGAAAAAGAAAATTTAAAACCATTTGCAGTGGTCCATGTCACACAACCGATTGAGGGCAGTCTGAAGCTGCCGCTCAATAAACCTCATGTTCGACAACTGACACGAGATGTGGAAGTCATCAACATAAAGCCCATTTGCAACAGTCGGAGGAAGATTATTAGTGATAGCATTAATCTTAACATTAAAAAGTGTGACATTCAAGACAAAGCCCTGAGGGACTCCAAGTTCCTGTGGAAAGGAACAGGAAAGAGTTGAACCCATACGGACTTGGAATCGCCTGTTCAGTAAAAAGTTTTGAATAAAAATGGGTAGATGGCCATGCAACCAATAGGAGTGAAGGTCCTGCAAAATTCTATACCTCCATGTAGTGTCATAAGCCTTCTCGAGATCGATTAACACAGAAACAAAGTGTTGTCTCTTGAGAAAGGCTTTCCTGATCGACGTTTCAAGTCAAATCAGATGGTCCATGGTGGAGCACTGTCAACGGAACCAACACTGGGTGGGTGAGAAGAGCATTAACCATCCTCTCTAGGACCTTACAAAGACAACTAGTCAAAGCAATGGGATGATAATTTGAATCTTGGGATCCTTCCCAGGTTTAGGGAAAGGGAGGACAATAGCCTGGAGCCAAGAATCAGGAAAAAGTTGCTCCTGCCAGATCTGGTTAAAAATAACCAGGAGAATAGCAAGATAGGTGAGAGATGGCACAACATCTCATAATGAACATAATCAGGTCCGACCGATGTACTACCAGACCGATGAAGAGCAAGTTTGAGTTCCACCAGTGTAAAGGGGTGATTATAATCATAGAGATGATCGGCACGAAAGGAAAGAGGCAATCGCTCTGCCCCAGACTTTATGGCCAAGAGGGCAGAGGAAGAAACAGAAGTGCTAGAAGCATGAGAAAACCTTTGGCCGAGAGCATCAGTAATGCTCTGGACATCAGCAACTTCCTGGCCATTGGAGAGCAAGATGGAAAGGGGATAGGAAGCATACCTCCCAGAGACTTTCTGAATCTTGTCCCATACAGTTTTGGAACTGGTGGTAGAAGAGATGCTAGCAGTGAACTTAATCCAAGACTCCTTTTGGCTTTGACTTCGAACCTGCCGAGCATGGGCACGGGCCCGCTGATAAACAATGCAGTTAGAAAGAGAGGGATACCGTCAGAAGGTATCCCACGCCCGTTTTTGAGCCTTCCGTGCCTTCTGGCAGGCAGGACTCCACCATGGACGAGGATACTGTGGAAAACGTGTCGAGGTCGTTGGAATAAAATGAGCTGCTGCCTGGACAATACAGTCAGTTACTGCAACCACACAGTTGTCTATTGATGGCAGACAGACGAAGGCAGGATCAAGTTCAGAGAGAGAGGTGAAAGATGGCCAGTTAGCCTGGTCAAGCTTCCACCGTGGCACTTGGGTCGGGTGGCATCAACCATGGCCAACCTTCCTCATAATGATAGGAAAATGATCACTGCCCTGTGGATCACTGTCGACCATCCAAGAAAAGTGAGTGAAAAGTGAAGGTGAGCAAATCGAGAGATCAATGGCAGTAAAAGACCGACTAGGTGCATGAGAATAAGTATATGTTCCAGTATTGAAGAGAGAAAGGTTGTGATCCGAGAGCATACGCTCTATGGATCGACCCCTCCCATCAATATCAGCACCACCACACAGGGGGTTGCATCCATTAAAGTCTCCCAGAAGTAAAAAGAGAGATGTCAACTACTCAACGAGAGCATCAAGGTCTGATTGATCATAAGTCTCACCAGGAGACAGGTAGAGAGAACAAACAGTGATGGCACAACCCAAGGAAACATGGATGGCTAAGGCCTCCAAGGGTGTATTGAGGGACACAGATAAGGAGGGCACATGCTGGTTGACAAGCAGTGCTACCCCTCCATGTACCCGCCCATCACACAACCTGTCATTCCGGTATAGAGAAAACTGCCAAAAGGTGACTGTATCGGCAGGTTTCAGGAATGTTTCCTGCAAGGATAGACACACGGGATGATAAAGAGTCAATCAAGGCCTTAATGTCATTGAGATTAGAATGAAAACCTCGACAGTTTCACTGTATCAAAATGGCCATTGTTATGTATGTTTAGGAGAACAGGGTGGGGAACCCTTTGGTTTACGACCACGCCATTTTTCTTTACTAGAGGGAGGTTGATCGACCTTCATGGATCTTGCCCTTGATCGAGTGGGTAGATCTCTGTCATCAGTGTGAGAATCCAATGACTGAGGATGTGATCGATTGATTGTCCTGCTTTTAGGGGCCAAAGAAGGACCCGCACGGACATCGGAGGCTAGCGCCCGAGGAGGTTGACCCAGGCAGTCACTGGAAGGAATAGTAGGGACAGAGATCAGAGTTGACGTAGACCTATCAACTCTATTAACCATGGAGGGCAGAAGACCTCTAACGTGGCATGAAAAAGACTCAGATGGAGGCACGGAAAGGTCTGGCTGCACTCCCACTGTAGCAGTGGAGCGTAGTGCAGTGGTATATGTCCGAGAAGGAGTAGGGAACAATAGCTTCCGAGCCTCTGGATAGGAAATGCTGTGAACAGTCTTCAAATGCTGTTCCTCTTTCTCCCCTCACCCACTTAGGGCAAGACTTAAAGTAAGAGGGGTGGGAACTACTACAATTAAGGTAGTGTGGGTCCAGTTTACATTCATAGGCGTCATGGTCCTTGCCACCACAACGAGCACACGTCATAGAACCACGACAAGATGTCTTTGAGTGACCAAAACCGCTGGCACTGAAAACATCGGAGAGGGTTGGGTATATAGGGCCGTACCTTACAGTTCAAGTAACCTGCCTTAACAGCGGCTGGTGGACATGGTGATGAAAATGTCAAAATAAGAACTGAGGTCAGCACCATAATACCATTCTGATGAGTGGAGATCCATCGAACAGCTGAAACTCCTTGGCTGGAGAGACCAGCAAGGATCTCTGACTCGGGGATAGACTTCAAGTCCCTCTCAACAATAACTCCTCATGATGAATTCAAGGAAGCATGGGGAGTAACCTCAATGGGTATATCCCCAATGGCCCTTGAATTCAAGAGGAGTTCACTGTGCTTAGCTGTGGATGTTTCAACCAAGATGTCTCTAGAACAAAGTTTCTTAACTGACTTTGGAGAGCCAGCAAGACCCTCTAAGCCCTTCTGAATAAAAAAGGGGGACATTTGCCCTAAAGATTTATCAGATAGTGAATGTAAGATCAGAAAGCGAGGTACAGGGCCACCTTGTGGTGGAGACTGCTGTGCAGAGTCTTCTAGGCGTGGTCATTTTACCAATAAGCAGAGTTTTTACTATTTT